TAACAATTATTGTGATTTATTAACATAAAGATAATTTTGGGGTTTTGACTTTGAACAAAGTATGATTCTCCCAAGAACCTTTTTACGTGGCGAGCTCTTGAACTATACTTGTGATGTCGTGTGAAGATTTTTCGAATACGTGTCAAAGTTCTGAAATCTTAGCGTGTTAATTATGATTACGTACGTAGTTTTGTTGACAAAGTTTATAAAAAAAAAACTTATGAAGACTATATTTGATAAATCGTCATTTATTTTACAACAGTTTTGGTCGTGTTTGGTGGATTAGTGACAAGAAGTGCACACGACACAAGGGTTAAAAGTCTAACAAACATGGCTTATGGAGTTGAACGTAAATATTGCTGATAAGTGAGGGTGTGTATTAGTGATCATCAGATGATAAGAAACATCGAGGAAACCAAAGTATGGTTTCGAAGAGTTGCGTTGTCAGAAACTGAACTGGTGTGTTCGGACTTCGGACAATAATAAGACGTTAGTTGTGTTGCGTTGGTGGTTGTTAAATCCCCATGAACTTTTTGACAAATCACAACTTTGCATAGAAGTAGTAAACACAAAACTAATACTTAGCTTCTTCCGATTTACAAAAGATGTTGTTTTCGTATTATAAAGAGTGTACACTTTTGTGTTTTTGTTAAATAGTTTAGGAATCCAATTATGAGTTTATTCTCTTATTTGGAGTTGCCATTTTTTGATTATGAACTTTTGGATTTGCCATTTTTTGTAGGTTACAAAAATGTGATTAATTAACATACGTTTTATATACTCGTTATATTTGGGTTTATTCAGTTTTATTTGTTTTTAGACTTTAGAATTCATTATAAAGTATGTGTTTCGGCAAAAACAAATAATCATAAACATAATTGAATCGAACATATATACTCGGCAAAAAAGTGAAATCATAAACATAATTGAACTTATTAAAAGTAGTCATCACCATAAGAGAAGTTTGTATAATGGTTTACGCTACGTACTAAAATTGTAGCCACAAGCTCATGAGTCATGTGTGTTTTTTGGGCTATGTAAGTGACTAACATTTCTAAAGAGGAAATATTATTCTATGTATTATTTGGCTCTCTTTATAATTCTCGCACACTTTTATATATATGGAGTCATGGAGAGATCACATTTTGTGAGGGTGGACGATAAAAAAGAGGAAAGAATCAAGAAAAGGTGGTCCTTTGTGTACACAAATGGTATATGTGCCTTTGAGATGAGTTGAAATTGAAATAGCTAGTAATATGAATGCGGTCCATTGCACCACTACAACATGTCAAAATCATATTATCACTACTTTTGTTCCGAGTCAACTTGGTTTCTTTAGTCTTTCACACGTCTAAGTATAATCATAGTTAGCCACGGCTATGAAAGGTTACATGACTTGGTCCATATATTGCAAAACAAATCGAATTAGTTACTTTTGGTCCGGTCTCCGGTGACAGGATCTAGTAGACAATACGGTGGACCAAACTTATTTCTATCAGACTGTTGATTGAGTTAAGTTGGTTTTGTTGTTAAGCCATGGTCCAAAGTTGACCATCCAAGTAATTTTATCCCAAGATTGTTAAGATTAATTAACCATTGGTTTAACTCTCTTATTTAGCAAATATTTCTTTGGGGAAATTTTTTAAGTTCAAATTTTTAGAGGAGAAACATGATTTAAGAGTTTAAATAAACTATGGACTAAAAGTCCAAGAGAAAAAAACTGTAACCAAAAAATATTGTTAACTTTTTTCCTATGTATTTTTACTTCGTACAACGATATATTTCTACAACTATTGTTAAAACAAATACATATAATTTTGCACATATTTGTTTTAAAAAAACCTTAAACTAAAGTGATTTAAAAATAATACTATTTATAAAAAATGTTGGAGTTGGAAATAAAAATTAATGGGAAAATTGGATTTTCAAATAATGTTTGGAATATAGTTTGAATCAATAATGGATTTGCCATTTTTGTGATGGCATTTATAGATTGTGTCAGTTTGTTTAAAATTATATAGATTTACCATTTTTTGAGTTACAAAAATATGATTAACAAGGTTTTTGATACATCAACTTAGAATTTAGTTGTAACCATTTGTGCTTAAATTTTGATATTTTTTATAACGTCTGAATTTTAACCAGAAAAAATATAGACAATAAATTCATAAATATTTTAGCAAAAATTACATATTCATTATAAACTTATATAAATTAGAGTAATAATGGAAATAAATCTATTTTTTCACCTATAATTTTACGTTTAAAAATATGTAGAAATTATTGTGTTGATGTTCATAGTGTTTTTTATTTTTATTTTTGAACCAAGATGTTCATAGTTATATTGATCAACCTTGGAGGTTTTTGAACGATTCTTACCTAGAATAAGAAATTGATCATTCTTTATGTGATGCCATAAGTCTTTGGACCAAAGAAAAGAAACAATAAAGAATGCATAGTCCCTTAGACCCCAACAATGACATTACATCTCTCATTCTTTTGGGGGCACCATGTTAAATAATAAACATAGTATTTTTATGCACCGAATACGTATATCTACCTCACATGTACGTACCAAAATATTTGAAGTTATGTTACATAATTTTCAAAACTTACATAAATGCATACATAGTTGTTTAAATTTATTTGTGACAACAAAAGAGATATATACTTACTATGGTTTAAATGTCTAACGTACCACTTAACTATATAGTTCAATGGACGGTGTGCAAACCAAACTGAGAGAGTTTATATGTTTGGTAAATGGTTGGATTTCTCTAAATCCAATGATGCAATAATCATCCGTTTGGAAATAATTTTCCATTTCATAATACACCCTGAACATGAATAGTACATTCGATTTTTTCACTAATTCAAACAAAATATAAATGACATATACAGTAAATGTGTTGATATTTAATCAAGTGTTTAACTGTGATTTTAATCATAGTTGTCTACTTAGATATTTTCACCACAATTATACTTCACCAGCTCCAAAATAACAAATATCTAATATTCATGGAAATATTGAGTTGTAGAAGACTTGAAACATTAACCGCCATAATGGTGATAGTGGTCTTGATTTTATAGACAGTAGAGTATATTTGGTAACCACAAGAGATATTTGTATTGTTATTAAATCACTAAGTAACAAAAAAAATTTCTTCAAAATAATTTCTGATTAATAGAAAATACATTGTTTTTCTTTAAACGGTTTTCTATTACTTCAATCTTACAATTTGATATAGATTGTCATAGTTTTCCGCTAATTCAATTTTACCGTCTGGCTTAGATTGTTTTAAGTAACATTGCACTTCTTTTCGGCTTTATTTTTCTTCTATGAAATACGTATAATCTTTTTTCAATGTCTTAACGACCTATTTATATTTTTTTTGTTTAAACCGTCATAAGGTAAGTTTATTTACTCTAGGCCAATTACTGCATCTTGAGCTTGGATACATACAATTTTGTCTTTGTTTTCATGATAAACAAATATTATTTGGGTCGTTTTATCTATATGATGGGATTTTTGATTGTTTCTTGTAAGTGAACATTGTTCCCAAATTGCTTGGATATTGTTTACAAAACTAATATACATAATGCTTAATTCAAAAATAAGCATTTGAAATTGGTTTACTTGGATATAGCTTTAACATAACAAAAATGATAATAGTGTACCAATTATGTAACACAAGATAAACTAGTTTAGATTATATCATGGCATGAAGAAACGATAAAGATATTTTTATTCATCTCTTATTATTTTGGGAAGAACCATTTTTCTGAAACTTTATTTTATAGAGCATGTAGTTGAAAGCTCACTTTAAATAGTGTTATTAGATGAAAACTAAATATTGTTAATCTATGTAAACTAAGTATACTCCCAAGTATATCATACTATATCTTGATTAAGTTGATAATTCCATCTTGAGGTTTTTGATCAAACATTATATGACTTGTATATTGTATATATGATTTGGCAAACATTTTCTACAAATAATTTCTACAAATAATTTCTACAAAAGGAATTACAAAATTCATAGATAAAATTCTCAAATCATACAACTAATATATTTACTGACATATCTGAACAATAACTTTTCTTTTCTATTATCAACAAGAGGTGTATAGTATACTGATGGAAGAGCATTTTTTTTTGTAAAGCAATATAAAAAATGTCTTAGCAATAATATTGCTAATATTTTGATTCATAATGCTGTAATATGATCAAAATAATCAAACGCATTCAAGCAAGAGGCTAAACAATAAAGTTTCTTACTATATACACAATAGAGTCTAAAACATCATCTTAATATTAAACAATCGTCTTGATATTATAAATCAAAATGTTCTCCAACTTTCAGAAAATATAAATTGTGATTGTAATATATAAAATGTTTTGAATCTAAAAAATTCTCAAAAAATTATAAAAATTACTTATAAACCTTAATAATATAGTTTTAATATCCAAGAACTGGAAAATATATTTTTCTATTGAAAATGGTATAGTAGTAATTTAGTTGTATTAACAAAACAAAATTGAAATGTTATTTTTTCTAAAAAAGACAAGCTTAAAACAAGAAGTGTCACAATGCATGAGAATATTAAATATAATTGGACAGTCTTTATTTCTTATAAAACATTTATTACTCTCTCTTTAAATATATATTTATATATTTTCCCCACTCACTATTGTAGTAGGCTCCATTTCTAACCACACATCTAACCATAGTTAAAAACATCCTCAAGCCCCTGTCCTTTTAATTTTTAAATATTTTTCTAATTATTATTCACATTTATTAAAATTATATCTCTCCTTATTAAATTATTTTATTCTCTCTTAGCAACATTCATCAACCAGATTCATTTATAATTACAACACTTCTTCTTCTTCTTCCAAAAAAAAAAAAATTAAAAACTTTATATCTCATCTCCATAAATTTTGATTAATCTCTTTTTATTATCCTCCTTCTTCTTCTTCTTCTTGTAGAGTAACATAAACCCTAAAATTTTCTTGATTTTCTTGAATTTTTTTTTTTCCGTTTTCAAGAAATTCAAGAAAAAGAGAGAGATGCTTGAAGTTAGAGCAATGGATCATATGACTCCTAAATCACCAGAACCCGAATCCGAAACCCCGATCCGGATCCAACCCGCTAAACCAATCTCTTTTAGTAACGGTTTCATCAAACGCCACCACCACCACAACGTAACCGTTACTTACAAAGAATGTCTCAAGAACCACGCGGCGGCGATTGGTGGTCACGCGCTTGACGGTTGCGGCGAGTTCATGCCATCACCTTCTTCAACACCTTCCGATCCAACTTCTCTCAAGTGTGCAGCTTGTGGTTGTCACCGTAACTTCCACCGCCGTGATCCTGACGATTCCTCCGCCGCTTTACCACCGTCGTCTCTTCCTTTATCTTCCACCACTACCGCCGCTATTGAGTATCAGCCTCATCACCGTCACCATCCTCTTCCTCCTCCGTTACCTCGTAGTCCTAACTCATCTTCTCCGCCGCCTATCTCTTCTTCTTACATGCTTTTAGCTCTGTCCGGTAATAATAATAACAAAACCGTACCGTTCTCAGATCTGAACTTCTCCGCCGCCGCCGCCGCGGCTGGTCGTCATAATAATAACATCTCCACCACGCCTGGCTCGAGGAAACGTTTCAGGACTAAGTTTAGTTCTAGTCAGAAAGAGAAGATGCATGAGTTCGCCGATAAAATCGGCTGGAAGATTCAGAAACGCGACGAAGACAACGTCCGTGAGTTTTGTCGGGAGATCGGAGTTGATAAAGGTGTTCTCAAAGTTTGGATGCATAATAACAAAAACACCTTCAAATTCCCCGGCGGAGGCGGCGGCGCCGCCACAACTGGTATCAACGGCGGTGAGGATGATGGAGTTCGCGGTGGAAGTGGTTTAGCTAACGATGAAGACGACGGTGGAGGTGACGGTGGTGATGGTGGAGGTGGGAGATTTGAGAGTGATAGTGGTGGAGCTGACGGCCGAGGAAATGTAAACGCCTCGTCGTCTTCGTCGTGAAGAAGGAAACATCTTGTCGTTTTTTTTGCAGATTAAATAAGGGAAGAAGCTTAAGCTTTGTTATTAGCTTTTTTTTAGATTATAGAGAGAGTAAGCAAGAACTAAGCACTTCTATTATTATTATCGTTAAATACGTTTTATTAATATTAATTAAAACTCTTTTTAGCTCTTATAATTTCATTATTACCAATAAATATTACATTCAAAATATGTAATTTTTTCTTCTATTATTGGGAAGTTTATATCAACTAAATTACTCGAATAATTAGTCACTAATATTTAATATGTTTTTGGCTTTTTTTATCTTAAAAGTATGTTGTAACAAGGTTTCATAATATATTTCCACTAATAGAAAAATTATATGAAACTAATTACCCAAATTAGTCAGTCTAGGTCATATTTAGTAAATGAAACGAAACCCTAAACGCGAATTTTCCCATAAATGAATAAACAAGTGCAATTTAATTAATTTTTAATAATATTTATTTGGCTTTCTTATCTTGAAGAGTACTTTGTCGCTTAATTTAATATGCGATCAAACTAAGATCTAGGTGTCCTTTTCATAAAATCTCTCTTTATTCTTTGAGAAAAGAGACATATTATTTTATTTTATTATATATTAAATTATATTTTTTCCAATGATTAGTGTGTGTTTGATTAAACCAAAAGATTCATTTTAATTTCCTCATTAATCAAAGTATCCGTTTTTGGTACATATGCTCGACTCAAGTGTTAATTATTCTTAAAGTACAAACTACAAAACAAGCATATAATAAATATTATATAATTGGGATCTAACTATGTATTATTAAATTGCTATATATAGGGTTTAGTTTAGGACGTGGAGGAAACTAATCATTAGCTTTAGGAATAATTTGTTTTAAATTGCTTTTTAATTCGGTAACGTAGAGATGCAGCCGTAGTTGTGTGATAGGGGTTAAGACAACAATTAGATACTAGTCGTGATTAACACATGTCGGCTTACCAAGCATAAAATATTATACTATAAAAGTGTACTTAAAATTAGCTATTATTATAAATTAAATAAACAGGATTTTTGTTAAATTTTAATACTGGTAATTAAACTGAAAAAGATATTAAACATATTTAACTTAATTACTTGGTCGTCGCAGCGTTGAAAAATTCAAGTAGATTTAATTATTTTACGGGTTTTCCGGAACTTCTTTTGACAAAAAACTGTAACGTTCTGACCGTCATTAAGTTAAGTGGATTTTATGTTTACTTACGATTTCTAGACCTATTTTTTTAATAGGTCTTTTGTCTATTTTCGGTTGTGGTCCCAACTATATTCGACGACTAGTTTGCTTTGTCAGAAAATTTTAAATAATTGTTTACTGATCCTAGAAATTAACGATACTTTTTTCTCACGTTATGTCCATATTTGTACAGTTCCACTTATAACTTTTCGGAAGGTTACTTATCTTTAAACTATTTTAGCTTAAGTATGTTTTACCGTAAAGTTTTCTCATTGATTAAAAAGATAAATGCAATTTAATGATATAAGTGGTTAAATTATTATTATTTTTTAAAAATCTCCAGCTTGTACTACCATAGATTCGAGACAAAATGTTTTTGGATTAAGCAATGTATTTCGAAAATCTTTTTTTCTTTTTATAGATTATAAAAAGGATCAATGTGTCTCTCAAATTTCATTTTCAGATTTATAATACTTCCTAACTTTAGCTATAAATGTAATATTTCTGGAAAAGAAAAGATAAAAACTATTTGGTGTGATTATTTTACAATTTCATGAAGTCACAAATCTCTTTTTAATTTCGTGGTGGGGACGAACTTTAACACAGGCTGAGGTTATGGCCCTAACTGCCATATAACATGTGCACAGTGTACCACTTACTAACTTAGATTTTTTATTTTCTTTCTTTCTTTTTTCTGACGTAAACTATTGCTAACAAAATCGTACGTTTTGTTTAGAAAAGTTTGATCTCTGATTTTTAATTATTATTCAATTCAATATAAAATAATATATATGATATGAGTTTTTAATTTTTATGGTATATAGCCGTTAATTAATTGGTAAGGTCCAAAACATGGAAAATTAATTTGTGATGGCATTAATCGAAAACATTTTTCTGAATCGAGTATAAAATCTATGCAAACCGAAAAATTGACGGCTTTACAATGACAATGGACTTTATTCTATATTGCTTATCAGATTAGAGAAAGTAGAAAAAGTAAAATTAAATTATCACTTGTAAGTTGTAATTATTTTTCTTTTATTTTTTGAATATTTTTTATTTTATGTAAATTTACAGTGTTATCGATCATACATAGTTGCATCGATGTTTTAACAATTTTAGAGTGGTGTGGTGGTAAATATATAAAAATAAAATAAACATTTTGTCGAATTTTTGTAATATCATCTAAAAATTTATTTTTGATATCTTTTAGATCGACAAAGCTCGATCTATATCTAATTTTTATTACACGGAATAGCACAATTTAATAAATTCGAACTCCGGTGGGAAAGGGAAGCCAAGTGGATTTACCCGATAAGAATGATAAATAAGAAGCTAATGGTAATTGCTTTCAAATTTTGTATTACTTTAGATATAGAAAAGAAAAAATATGGAAAAAGGTGTTATTCATGAAGTGGGATCTGGAATAGCATAAACTGGAAAATGCTTATTATAAGAAAGTTGAGATTTTGAGAATCAAAATACCAAATGGTGCGTATCTTTTACCCACTCGTTTTGTATCCTAAATAAAATTATTGTTGTATAAATACACAAAAATACAAAAGAACCTATGAGCATTATTTTGATAGCATCCCCTAGTTGAAAATAAATTAGAGGACCACATAATAATACAAAAATAAATAAATAAATAAATATACATTAATATAATAAAATTTATTTAAGATGTTCATTTAAATTTAAAATAATAATATGAATTATTGATGTAACCAAAAATTTGGGCTGTGGACCTTGTGGTCTTAATTAAAAGTTAATAAAATTGTATTAATTAAGTATTAATTTTTTTTTTTTGTCAACACTGGACAACAACTGGCCGACCTGTTAGCCTAATCCCTACAAATATGTAGGGAGTGGGATTCGATCCCTAGTGTGATGGTGCATGTCAATCAGTGGATTTATCATTTGCCACTAGACTAAAGTCAATTTACAAGTATTAAAATTTTTAAACAATGAGTTTTATTCGTCAGTTTATATATATTACTAGTCGGTTGTCCGCGCTACGCGCGGGAGTTTATTATGTTGTTTATGAATAATTGGTTCGTATTTTATTTCGTACTTATTTTTTTCACTATACCATACTTTACTTTTTTAAAACTTAAATCGTGTTTGTATAGAAAAACTATTGAGTTTTAGCTTCATTAGTCATTGGGAAATTAAATGTGTATAGTATAAGTCGAAGTGTGGGCGTAAATGGAAGTGCGGTTGAGAATTATTGAGAAACGTGTGCTATTAGAGTTTTTACCAAATATAGATCTATATATTAATATTTTGGGCCCTTTTATATGTTGGCATGAAATATGAACATGATTTGTGGGTTTCGGGTGGATTGTTGTATTTTTAATTGTTTACATTATCTCTTTATATATTGTCATAATTTATTATTTTTTGTTTTACGTTTTCCTTTTTTAGATTTGTCGTACTTTATATCTCGTAATGATCATTTATATACTATTATATATATTTTTTTCTACTTTTATGTTTTATATATTTTTTTTTGTTTTTTCATATGGAACAATTTTTAAATTTAACATATTAGTATAATTTACTTTATATTTAGTTTATTTCATTTAATAATGTTTTTATTTTAATTTTCAGTTTTATGAAATATAGTTAATTTTTTATTTTGTTTATTAGTTTAACATATGTGTTGTATTGGAAACAAATAGTTAAATTCATATTGGAAACTTTTAAAGAAATATTATTTTTATTTTTACCTTTTTATATGTTTATAAAAAAATGAGAATTCATGTTTCGGTCCGACCTA